ACATTTGATTTAACTGAAAAGATTTGATTTCAGTTTAGGGCTTCTTACTTAGTAGCTCTGATGAGTCCTGAAAGGACAAAATATGTATACGTAAGCGAATTGTGGAGGCACTACACTTGAAATCAAATCTTAACTACCTTCTCTATATCTTTATTTACTCAAATTTTGAGTATTGATGTAAAATGCAATCTTAAATTCCCCATGTAGGTACATTCATTGTCTGCTTGCTTTGTAAATTGTAGTTTGGTTAAGAATCTGAATTTGGGTTTCGAATAAGCAGACATCTTAATACACTGCAAAAAGTTAGTAAAAATATAAGCCAACAATATAAGTTTGTATTGGATACTGAAGTTAGATGCGAAAAGGAATCGATATATTGAACAAAAGATATCATAGTTGATATTATAAGGTGTGTATCAGTTATAAAGAAATTTAGCTAGTGATAGTAACTGAAGTAAAAAAAAAATAAAGAAACACTGTTTAAAGGGCGGCAAAAAAAGGTCTAACAGAACAAAATCCAAAATAACAGAACAGGAAATAGACCAAAAAATTCAAAAAGACGGATAAAAGATCAGTTGGACTAGAAGATGTCCCTGGAGAAGTATGGACAGCGTTAGGAAAGACAAGAACCATTGGGATAACAAGCTTAGTAGAATTATGAAAGTGAGGCAAATAATATAGAACCTTCAAACTAGTTAGTGACACCATGAAAATATGGATACGCCGATAAGTAATCAAAAAGTTGTGTTGGGTTACTAGTTACAGAAATTTTACACAGGTATCTACCTACTCAAAAGTTATGAGTTCGCTTTTCTAAACTTGTTTAATATACTATTATAAAGATGGGAGCTTACTGGATGGTTCATATAGAGAGTTTCAACTACAGCAAGTCAATCAAACACAAATGGTTACATAATGATCATCAAATATACTATTTCAGAATTACAGAAAACAGGTTGCTACTTCTAATTATTAAGTTGACGTCCATACATTATATTAATGCTGCAACGAAACATAAATCGCGTAACATTTGTTCTGCATCGCTTGTTCTTATTCCCACTTAATGATAAAATTATAGTTTTGAATTTTTTAAATTTGATTCGAGTAAAATATGACTTGACTGTATTTAGGATATTTCCTATATAGTTTTGAATACATTTCACTTAGCAACGGCATGTTTAGATTCATGTAAACGACAGTTTATTAAAGATACAATGAAAACTTAATTATTCTATCACACGAATTTCTTTAAAATGGAATTTATTAACGAGCTTTACACAGGTGAACCTCGTCGACAATAAGTCAACATATAATTTTTTAAAAGGTATAATGTTTAAAAGAACAGGCTAACAATCACAGACGTAGAACCTAAATGGACGTTAGGTAGCAACTAACAGTTACTACCCTCATTGAGGATTAAAAAAAAATGTGATATATGGTATACAGTCAACTACAAGAACTCAACTTTTATTTTTGGATTTGAACCAATTTGAACCACGTTACCAATATGCCTTATACCAATATATTAACAGTAACATCTGGCTTCTTCAGTCTTATTTAATTGTCGCAGCTCTGGGTTGTTTACAGTGTTATTTTTTAAGGGTAGATATAGATGTTATTTTTTCTATCATATTCCCTTGTTCTTGTTAACACATATAACTTAAAGGTTAGCAATATTTTGACAATATTCACGTCGTCTGTTCATCCACTTGCGCTTGTTTTTAGGTTTGAAGACTTCATTCCACAGTTAGTGTGTACAGTATCGATCATCTTATGTTATTGTTATGTGAATTCTCTGAAAAGTCGTAGCGGAAAGATAAAAAGCGCATTCTTGACTATAAGCTCTGTGTTCAAGAGCCATGGCCTCACCCTAGAAACAAAAATAAGGCTCCTTAAATGTTATGTGTACTCAGTGCTTCTGTACGGAGTAGAAACGTGGACATTGAAGGAGGAAATTCAAAACTTCAGGCTTTTGAGCTATGTTTATACAGAAGGATTCTGGAGATACCATGGACACCAATGAAGAAGTACTGCGGAGGATGAACACCATTGCGAATTTGGTCAACATCGTGAAGGGCCGTAAGCTGTAGTACCTACTTGGGACATTAATGAGAAATCAAGGCAGATACGAACTACTTTAATGCATTTTACAAGGTAAAATTAAAGGAAAAAAGGTCTCTCCAGGACGAAGAAAATTTTCCTGGCTTGCTAACCTGAGAGCATAGTATAGAAAGATCTCAACACGGCTATTTCGTAAAGCAGCCAACAAAGTCATCTAGCCACAATGATCGCCATCGTTCGGAACGAACAGGCACCCTAAGAAGAAGAATTCTCCAATTTATCCTTTATTCCATCTGTAATTAGTGTGAGTTTTTTCTTAACACTAATTAAGTATATGATATGAAATTGCATCAAGCATCGCACGTAAATTTTAACGTCGGGGCTACTCTATTTTGGGTGTTTTATTTTCTTTGGCATTGTAAGTTACGTGTCCTAGGTTTTTCCAATTTTATGTGCTATTTTTATCAATTAAGATATTTTTGTTTAGTAAGTACTTATATTATAATAAATTTTGATTTTTTTTTGAAAATGTACATTTATATCAGGTAATAATTATTTATAGCTTGTATCTTGTCAGTGTTTACAATTTAGTTGGTTAGCTACTGGAATATTATATGGACGTTGTTTGAATTTATTCATTTAAATTGTAAAATAATTCTTTGTACGTTAGGAATTGACGTACTTGTTGAGCTGTGTTTTCTTTCTTTTGTCCATAGCACAACTGTAGGGAGTTTGGTTCAGTTCTCTTTCGACAGTGACAGACGAAAAAGATCTTGCCATTTTTTAGATATATTATATATTAAAATTGTAAAAACCATGCCGCAATGAATACTTGTAATCATATGCAATGAAAATGAAATTGTGTAACATTCTGGCCTTCGACATCATTAATTTAGCTCCTCATCGAATATGTTACATCAAAGCTAAAATAAGGTGATCTGATAGTGGAAGCTTTTAAATGTGTTAAAAAAGTTCATAATTTCCACACAAACGTACTATTCATTTATTTTTAGACAATATATTTTGAGCTTTTTCTGTAAATGATTAAAAAGAGTAATGAAATCGCAAGGCAATTTATGTCTGTGTATTAATGAAAAACTATCATTGCCAATTCTAGTAAATAGTTATCTTGTTGGTCAATGGTATCTTTGGTATTGGTATCCTTAACAAGGTTCTGAAACTGTTTCAGATGTCTTAAGACATCTCTAAGTAAAAGTGATTGTGTTTATATGGAATTAAGCCATATTTTATTATTGTAATGATAATTACCTTTTAATTAAAAAAATTTAAGGTTTCAATTTCCACTCCAGAAATCTATGTTTTGAGAACAATTAGCACGTACAGAAGAGAAAGTGTTCTTTCTTTTCTGCAAAGCAAAAAGCTTGGTTATACCTATGTTCAATTTGAAAAGGATTTCCTGAGTGGAAATCGAAACGTCAAATATTTGTAGTAAACATTTCATTGCCATTACAATCAATTGCGGCTTAATCCCATATAAACGCAAGGACAAAATTTTCTTGCAGTATCAAAAAAGAATATTATGACCGAAGTTATGATTATGCTTATCAATTCCTGAACAAAATTTGATGAAATAATACTGGTATAAAATTAGATATAATTAAACACCAATAACACAAAAAAATTATATCTCTTGTAAAAATATAAAAAAGAATATGCCAATAACACAACACAAAAATAAATGGATAGATACCTAAACTTAAAAATACCAATATATTCCAGATCATCATTTTTAAGGAATATCTACACAAAATAAATAATACAGTTAACTTTAAGAGTCACACAAAGTGGTAGTAATTTCAAAACAAAATATATAAAAAAACTAAAATAGGTAAATCACTAATAAACATAAAATGACTATTATTAAAATTAAAAATACTAATTTAAACATTAAACGCAGAAAATAATGGAGATCTACATGAAAATCACAAAAAAATATGAAGAAAAAGAAAATAAACTTTTTAAAACTATTTTACAAAAATACTTATACTGCCATTTCTAATTGCAGTTGATAATAAAAAGGTACCTAACCAAACAATCTTCAGCAAATTATTGTTCTTTTCTCTGAAAATAATAGTATTTATATAGAATAATCGTAAAGGTTGCAATTGTAATTAATTTATTTCACAAATAAGAATGTTTTTTTCTATCGGTAAATATTTCTGTCGAAAAAAAAAAATGAAATAGCTTAGCCCAAATCTATCAGTCTAATACATTTTTGTGTATTTTTTCGTCTCTTTGCTATGATTAGTACCTACATAATTCAAGTAAGATTGTACAACATTCACATCTATGTAATTCTATGGATCGGAAGATGTCAAAATGTAAATCCAAAGATTAAAATTAATGAGTTGTCATTTTCAGACATAATTGATCTTAAAAAATACTACGTTAGATACTTTGATACCTTCCCAATGTTGTTTAGGGCCAGCTTATTATTATTAAACAATAAAATTGATAATTATTATTGAAATAAGTGGTTAGGAAAGAAACCCTAGCATTTTACACACTAGAAACACCAGTTTGTTATAGATGAGTTAGTATGAGAACTATGAGTAATAGATTCACATTTGAGTTTATTTATTATTGTATTGTTTCAAAGAACAAATTAATGTAGTAATGTGTATATTCTTTATTAAATAGAATACTAAAGAAGAACCAATAAGTACAACAGTTACCCAAGTATTAGTCGAATTTGAAATAATAATTTAGTTTTACACTACAAATAAAATGTAATTTTAACTATATTTGTCATGCAAATAAAATGTATTTTTACATAACAGTTATATATTTCTTCAGTGAATTGAAAATTTACATAACCTCCAATCAAATCCAGAGTAAATAATTTGTTTTCAAAATCTTTTTGGTTAGAGATACTTAGGTGCTGCATAAAACAATAAGCAGTCGTTGTTTCGGCTTACCTGTGGGAATGACAGTACAAGTAGGTTGAGCAGTAGTATTAACATCCAAATTAGTGTAAGAGGTGGGACAATCCCCATAAAAAGGTTCACCGCCAGAGCTAGAGGTAACCATGTCGAGCACCTGTAGCACCATGGCGTTCCCAACGGCCTCCGTCGTTTCTTTAATTTTTCTATCTAAAATCTTATGCCGACAATATCAATTTATTACGTCACTACCGGTTCTCTGAAACGCACACTGGCCGACACAGCAACCGATACCACATGCGAAGGTAACCCGATTCAAACTGGAAATGCGTTTGTCGTTTGTTTAGTCGCGCGACCCCTACTCCTAAGCTTCTCTTTGTTTAGGCGAAGAGGGGGATTTTCCCCTACTCACTCTTCTGTGTCTCTCTGCCGAAGCATTTGATTGAAGACGGAGGATAACAGTGGAATAATGAGCTTTTTTTTTTATATTTTTATAGGTGCATTTAAGAAAGCTTTAATTAGCCTCAAAGTAAAGTAAAACTGACGTTTATTTTTATTGAATTTTATTGTTGGATTTTTTGTGTGTTCAAGTCATTAGATGAAAATAATTAAAACGACACGTAAAAAATCATTTAATTAAAGAATAGGGTGTTCAAAAATTAAATTTACTGCAGCAAATTAAACAAGGACTATACCTACATACATGATTAAAAAAATAAAACGGCTAGTCACTAAACCATATCTAACAAATAAAATATTCAAAAGAAAATTATTAATTAAAAAAGGAATGTACCTACGCAGTCATATGGCAAAGAGACTAAGAGGGGCAGAATAATTATTTATTTTAATTATCTGAAAGTTACTGGATCCATTTCCATATATCGCATTCATTTTCAGATTTTGAAGTATTGTGGAGTCATTTTTGCTATTCGTCGTACAAGACATACATCCACTTTGCCATTTACCTTGGAAAACCTTTTTGATTTCTCACTAAGTGGGTTATTTCATACATGAAGAAATAAACTTTGTATTAGTAGGTATGTACCTACATATGATAGCGATATAATTCCAAAAAAGACAATGTGTGAGTTACTACATGATTTACAAAAAAATCTTTTCATAAAATAATTTCATTTTTTTCGGTAATGTACAATCATGCATTAATGAAAGTATTGTTAAGTTGTATAATTATCGATTCAAATACTGTGATGTCTGGGTTACGATGATAGTTTTTTGAACTCGGTAATAATAAACGGTTCAATTATTAAAGATGAGAGTCACGATCTCTACTTCCTGTCGAATACGATTCGGAAGTCATATAAGGAAGACACTAATTCTTATTTCATGTAGGTAGACTATAGGAACCTTGCACAGTATCAAATCACATCAATATATTATTATGATCGTAACTGCTGATTTCTTTTCGAGGTAGATTTAAAAAATATTTCAAAATCTAAATAAAAATTAAATGTAATTTAGTATTTATGTTATAGTTTAGTATTTATGTTATATTCGCTCATCGAAACTCCAGCGCTCCTAGGTTTGACTAGTCTGTGTGGCTTAGGCTAGCCCTCCACTTGCGATTTTTAGTCACGACGACAAAAAAATCGCTGTCGTAGAAAATCTAGAGAGTAGCTCCACTGCGATTTATAAATCGCTGAATTACATCAGTTTTCCAATTAATGACATCAAAACTACTTGTGTAATCGCTATTTTGCTTCGGGCGAGAACTACACGAAGATATCATCGTTATTGGATTCATCCGTTAACAAATCAAAGAGTTTTTAAAGGACAGTTTTACATATTATTTGAACGATAGTACTCAAAATCAATAGTACTCAAAATCAATAGTACTTAAAATGCACCCAACATTTTCAGCACATTCCTCGTTGTCTTGCTTGCATGCATGTCTCTGCTTGTCCATATGATTTATTGTGGTAGGCGACAGGTTGCGATTTCTTAATCGCTGTGAGTATTTAGTGGCAAACAGTCACTTGTATTTGAAACCATGTGTTCAATCTCTGCGACAAAACAATCGTCCGACTACAAATCGCAAATGGACTAGCCTTACGGTCTCAGTTAAACCCCAAAATAAATTCCATTTTCGACCTTTGACTAAAAAAATTTCGTCAAACCTAGGAGAGACTGATTTGGTCAGGCAAACTCTGATCAGGTATTAAGATATCATAATTTGTTTGATTAGGTTTAATAAAACGTTTGATGTTAATTATTTTTATATTGCCATAATTAAAATAAAAAACTTGTCGTTATTCTGATATGACGAGACAGTATGACATTAAAAATTGCACGGTACGTTGGATCTTCTACATTTACATAATTTTAAACAGCATTTTTATTGCAGTCGCAGTTTATAAAGCCTTGTGCCCCAAATTTGGAATCTCTTGCACTAATTTCTCTTAGAAACATCTGAACGTCGGGCACATCTACAAAATTAAGAAAATTCTCTTTGCATTCTTTTATTTGTTTCCTCGTAAAAGTGTGTATATTGTTCTGTGTTTCATCGCTACTCTGTGTAAACCGTCAACTGTTTTATCTTGTATGATTCCCAAAACATTTCGAGCATCTCATTTTGCTCTCTCAAAGCTGGGAGTAGGTATTGTTACAGTTTTTTCAATCGCAATTGGCGGAAATTTTTCTTTAGTTGATTATTTCATAACAATAACTTAAACCATCAATCGCATTTTCTTTATTTATTTTTATATTTTATGTCTGTGAACAACGTCTGCATGTAACTTTGCTTTCGAAGCCTTGTGTGCACCAAGTGTGCTGTCAGCGCACACAACATGTACATGTGCTTGATTACAAATTATGCACCTATGTCCGCCAGAGCTCTTTTTTGGCAAATACAACAAACCACATATTAAGAATATGAATGTTAATTGAACTAATATCCACTAGGAAACTAAGTTCCTATAGCTGGCTGTATACCATGTATCACAAAAATTTTTATTTCAAATCCTTTATAAAAGGTATATAATAAAATACCTAAACGTCCTATATCACAATTACATTACAGAACGTTTTCGGAATGTAAATTCCATCATCAGTGTAACGAAGTATACATGCTATGAGCCACTAAAATATATGGGTAAACACCCGTAAAATGTTATTAATTTATAGTTATGTTATATATTATTACAAATTAGGATGCCCAAGTTACCGATGGAATTGGTAACATGGCGATGTATCTACATAGGTTACATAGTCCTGAGACAAAGTGTCTTCGTTTTTTACTCATAACTTAGTAAGATTTTAAGCTAAAAATTGCTTAAAAAACTATTTTATAGGCTTTTTAAGTCCAATAAGATCATTTAAATAAAATAGTTTTAAACCATTATTTTTAAAAAGCTTGTAGTTGAAAAGGGCTTGAACGAGTCACTAATCACGAGAGTATGCAAACTTTGAACAGAAATATCTTAACCATTTTTTGTCTTAAAGAAAACAAAAAATATCCGTAATATTTAGAAAAGCAAAATCTATATTTTTTACTCTTCAAGATTTTTCTTATCACTAATTATTTTAAAGTAGTTTTGAAAAAAGCCATTTTTTTCAAAAATAGGCCCTTTACCGGTCAAACTTGTAAATCAACTATAAGTTGGTATAGATCAATTATAAAGCGGTAACGATTAATTTTATTTGGGGTGCTAAGTAGGAGATGATTTTCACGATGTTTTTACCAAAAAAAGGCACCAACTTTATTTTTATTGTAACTGGCTTAGTTTTGAAGCTCCAAACCAAAAAAATCAAAAATAAAGCATTTTTAACCGCTTTCAAAAAGCTTTGATGACTTTTTATCGAAAATGGCTTCATTTTTTGGTTATTTCACGTTAAAATATTCAATTTGGATCTTGATAAATAAGAATCTACTTTCCATGAGCTACAACTCTTCTTGGGCTAGGTTTATAGACTTCATAGGTACCTATACCATTTTTTTGTTTTTTTTTTATAAGCTACATTTTTGTTAAGAAATTTTTTTCGATACTTACTTTTTGAGTTATATTTGAAAAACCGTACGAAAACGTGATTTTTATTTTGAAAAAGGAAAATTTTCACTCGCAAATAACTCAAAAAGTATTAACTTAAAGTACATTCGTTCAGCAAATTCCCAACTGTTAACAAACGCACGTATTGATATTCGCCCTTTCATTCGTGAAGAGGCTATTAAATATAATTTATTGCCTTAAGCCAGACGGATTCTCATTTTACAGGTCCAAACTTGTCCACCAAGAACCACTTGGATTGAAATGAAATTTGGCATATACATAGCCGACGTGTGCTTTTGCCATGGGGTAAGTTTTACACTTTCTCGGGTGTAAAAAAATGCGTTCAAAATATGTCCAGAATTAAATAAACTGACTAATTTGAAGCAACTTTTATTTTATACAGTTTTTGCACAAAGTCAATATTATAGAGTTATATGCGAGTGAATATGATCATTTTTCATTAAAAAAAATCACGTTTAAGACGGTTTTCCACAAATAGCTCAAAAAGTAAGTATTTTATCGAAAAACATATTGTTAGCAAAAATATAGGTCATAAAAAAGGTAACAAAAATGATGTACGTATACCTATATGAAGTCTGTAGACTCAGTAAAAGCTGAGTTGTAGCTACTGAAAAGTAATTCAAATTTCAAATCGAACTTTGCGTTATTTGCAAAAACCGTCTAAAAACCTTGTTTTTTTGTTATTAAAAAATGAACATATTCACTCGCAAATAACTTGAAAAGTATTGAAACAGTGAAAAACTTTGAGAACAGTTGACATCCAAGAGTGACTGAAATAAAAAAATATGGGGTTTGAGGACTTCATGTTAAGTTCAACTGCTGGATATCGTTAAGGAACATAAAGGACAATACAATAAATATATCATTGATGAGATGGCAACAAGCCAAAACAAAATAGTGTTAAGGCTGTAAAAAAAGTAAAAAATTATGTAGCAGCCAAAAACACTACTTTTAAATTTGCAAATATGAAAAATATTTTTTATGATGCAATAAATAATATTAGTCCAACTACGTGGCAGAGATTGTGTGCAACACGTTCAACAAAAAGTCGAGTCCAAAATGTGGAAGTTGGACAATATAATAGAGAACCATATCGAACCCATAATAATAAATTCAGACGAAG